CTTTGTTGGTTAACCAAGAGCAGTTAAATTTTCATACAAATTAATCATACATGTTGGGCAAGTATTCAATTTTTTTTGCTTTAGTTTTAGCATTAGCTTAGAACCAGGATTCTATCTGAATCCAAAAGGCAACTAAAAATAGTACAAAAGAAAGTACTAAGTTCTAGTACTTCTTTTTTCTGTTTTTTCACTCTTCTAATGCTTTTTTCTTTTTTGGTTTGTACTTTATTAGGCATTAAAATTGAATTCCAGAATTGGTATTCTGAATTCGGAAGACAACTAGAATTAGTACAGAAAATAAGTACCAACTTCTAGTGCTTTTTTTTTTTTTTTTGTTATTTTTCGCTTTTCTAATACTTTTTTTTTTCTTTTTATAGATCTGTACAGTATTTTGTTAGGTGTCAAAAATAGGTGTTGGGATTGGCAATTAATATTCAAAAGGCAACTAGAAATAGTATAAAAGATAAGTATCAACTTCTTGTACTTTTTTTTTTATTTGTCTAACACATTTCTTACTTTTTATAATTTGTATTGTACCCTATTAGGGTCCATATTATTTCACCAAAAATTGCTTCATAAATACCACATTTTATCAACAATTATTCACTATCAAGTTCATTTTACTGATAGTCTTTTTCACCAAAGCTCAATCTCATTTCACTAACTTGCTTTTTTTTTTATCAATTATACTAACTCTATCTCTAATTCTAACCTAACCCTAATGATATTAACCACTTTGTCTATAAAATAGCTTTGGTAAAATAAACTGTTAGTAAAATGTTGTTAGCGAGTTGATTGGATCTCTTTTATTGGGTGTTGAAAATGGATACCGGGATTGGTAATTTGGATCTAAAAAGCAACTAGCAGATATAGAAGATAAATACCAACTTATAGTGCTTTTTTTTTATTCTTCTCTATTCTTCTAACACTTCTTTCTCTTTTTATAGCTTGTATAGCGCTAAATATAGGATCTGATCACTGACAATCACTTCATAGACACCTCATTTTACCAACAATTAGTTATCAACAAGTTTATTTTACCAACAGTTTATTTCACTAAAGCTCATTTTACAAAGTGGTCAATATCATTAGAGTTAGATAATAATTAGATTTAAAGTTAGTATAATTTATAAAAAAAAAACTTGTTAGTAAAATGAGCTTTGGTGAAATTGACTATTGGTAAAATGAATTTGTCAGTAACAATTGTCACTGAAATGTGGTGTCTATGAAATTATTGTCGGTGAAATAATACAGACCCATCGAATATAGATGCTGGAATTGATCTGTGGTTTTTAAAGTACAATTTTTTTTTCTACATACTTTTGTGAAGAGACAATTAGGTAAATATTGGCATAACTAATAGTTAGGCAAATTATATGAGGTGGTAGTATAGACTTAATCAACTATGTAAGAAATAAATCGAAATATAAATAAATAAAATTCACATATGTATGTAATAAATAAATGAAATTCAGAGTATTGGTTCTTCAGCAACTGGCTTTGAAAATTTCTATTCAGAAATTTCTCATATAACAAACTCAAACATGTCCGAAATGTTTGAGTTCAAGTGTTCGAGTTCGAGATATATTACTCGGACATTATCCGAGTGACAATACATTCATACAGACAAAATTCGGACTCAGATATCGGACAATGTCCGAAAATGTCCAGTCCACCAAATTGACTCGGACATCAAAAAATGTACAATACTGCACATGGGCATTATTTTGAAGCCTCGTATACTATTTTAGTGAAACACAAATTTCTAAATAATGCTCATACCTGTTATTTTCCAAAAATATAGTATAATTTTTAATCTCTAAGTTTTTGATATAAATTTTATTAAATTTAAAAGAAAAATGCTTTTATAGCCTATAAAACAAACCTGTGTGCCTTGAAAAATATAGTTTAATTCTGGAATACTGTATTTGTCATCACTTTTTTAACATCAAGTAATAGTGTATGCTTTGCAAGATCTACTCTTATCTTGCTCCAAAGGGTAAGCCATATGTGTTGTTTTGTCAACTTGGTAGCTTTTGCTATCATATGCTTTATCATATGATCATATACTTTTCAGAAATGCCGCCAGCTAATTTCCTATCTATTAAATATTATTTCTCTTACATTCTTGCTTTCATCATTGCTAGAATAACTTTTAGAAACATTATTTCTTAACTTTTTGAAGACATAGGTCAAATTATTTAAAAAAAAACTATGTATTGCCAGTTACGGGATTAATAGCAAGATGTGATACCCAATGTTCATTTTCATCATATATAGGATGAATATTATAATATAGTGATTTTCATATAAATGATTCAATTTTACTATTGTTTTCAATTATAACTTCAATATCCAAATAATTATCCTTTGATATTTCAGTAAGTACTTTACCAAGGTACTATTCACCATTAATTGTGCTTTGAACTTCACATTGATTATCGACATTTCAAATAACTTTGGTTGGCATTGGGTGTCGTAAAGACGAACATAAAATATTATAAGTTTGTGTAAAATCTAAAAGTTGGATTAAAAATTTGGTGCATTCTGAATTAAAAAAAACTATTTTAGCTGGTTGGTAACTTTTTTTTTCTGGTTTAGTTGACAATTGAGCCTTCACTTTATCGTTAACCTTTCAAGTTATTGCAAACCAATCGAACTCTTAATATGTCTTCTATTTTCACCTACACTATTACAAATAAAACCGTAGGTATGAATTGCTACATATTCAAGCTTGGCAGCTATATGAAAAATAGTAGTATTGAGAGTATAAGCATTTATTGTTTCAACCCCAAAATAAGCTATTGGAAAGTTAAAAGAATGGAATACTAAATGCCATACAACTTGATATACTTGAGTTGCTAAAACTCACTTATAGTCTTGTTCATTATTATCATTATATTCAGTAGATTTAGTATGTTCATTCATATACTTCAAACCATGAATATTGTAAAGACAATATTCACCAAAAGCTTCAAGTTTAGCATTTTTATTATCAAAATTGACATATTCAATATATTTGTTGTTATGTTGACTCTATAGAAGTTCTATAATAGTAAGATTTGTAAGTTTCTTGTAATTTTTTTTTTTTTTTTTTTTTAGTACTTTACTTTTTTAAATTTTAAATAAGTTATGAAAAAAGAAACCAATATATACATAACCTCTTATGCCATTTGCCTCCATACTAGCCACTATTCACTTTACTACTTTGTCTTGCCAACCTGTATACTGGTCAGTCTCATTAATATAATTTTTGAGTGTTGATAATAATAGCATTTAAATAACCAATTTCATTGCTTTATATCCAGCAGGGCTTCTACTATAAATAAAAATTGCCCACCTAATAAACCTAAAAAATATAATTAGTGATATTTTTTACTAAAATATAATTCACATTTTTACTTACATAGGATAATATCTTATTCCTTTCAGTTTTTTACTTTGTATATAAATCAACTCTTTTAAAATAATATTCGATACTTTTTGTTTAAAACTTCATTAACAACATTATGAACAATGTTAGTTAATAGCTCTGATGCTTGTTCTTCTTCTGCTTCAAATTTTAGCCTTAAACAGTCACGAAAACTATCGATTAGCTCTTTTTGTAATTGGATCATCTAAGGTAATAATATTTATTTAATAATAAATATAATTTATTAAATTAAAATTAACTTAAAATAAATACCTTTTGTGCTTTTTGAACAATTTTGGCTAAAACTTCTTTGGAAGCATGTGATGTCTTAATAGATTGAACACCATTTTTATGTTGGATTGCAATTTGTTATAGTATGTTTTGCAATGTTCTACAATTTGCACATATGTTGCTACCTAAGACAAGGAGAGTATAATCGATCTAGCAATAAGCTTCATTATCAAGCCCTTTATTTTCAAGATTCGCAATTATCTTATGATTATTTTTTAGGCCCAAAGAATTTGAATACAAATGATTATCTCTTAAGTAGATTGCTTGTTCAAATTCTATAATATATTATAAATAATATTATTAACCAAAAATATTATTGTTCAAATAAATAACATACTTTCCTTTAATGCATTATTCTATACAAATATTTGATTCTTTGAAAAATCATATGATTGGATGAATTTCATTGATTATTGAGATTTTATAGTTAATCTTATATTCTTCTAAGATATTGTCTCTTACTTCCAAACCATTAACAAAAATTGAAATCTTAATAGGTTTTCGACATATATGAAATACTTCCTTGATATAAAGTTCATTTTTCATATTTGTATTAAAGGAAACAAAACACAAAAACCTTTCACCTTTTATTAAATTTGTACTTGCCAATTCTTTTTTTTTTTTTTTTTATAATTCGGCAGTCTAGCCTTTACTGTTTATTAGTACTCTAAGGTATTGTAGTTATAAACATATAAACATATATTTACAACTATCTAATTATTTACAAATAAGGCTCACCCAGTTACTAACTTAGTATCTATGTGCAACTTGCTATATGAGATTTTACCTCCTTAGTAACCGCCCCTTTTAACCAGACCAATTACTAAATCACCAGATAGTTTCCAAACCTATCATATATACCTCGCTATTATACTACTATACAACATCTACTAGCCAACTTCTACTCCTCAGTACTTATTACATTACTCCTAATTCGTTTCTTATATTACTTCCAAATTGGTGTCTCTCAAGTGGGCACTCTTGATGCTTCCAGTTTGGTATCCTTGGGATATTACTCTAAGGGCCTAGTTCATATCTCAAGTCAGGTATGGGACCTGCTGCCACAACCAGGATGTTATTTCATGATTTTCAAGTATTAACATTGTATACTACCAAATTAGACTACCAATTTTTCTATAGTACTCCCTATTGGTATAGTGATACAGGGGTCTGGATCCTAGTTAAGTACCTCATTTAATTACTGTTACAATCCAGTAACCCGGGACCTATGCTCCTGCTGTGTTTTATCATAGACTTCTATATAGGTTGTACGACTATTACTCTCTAGTCTGTTTTGATTTTTGTACTACTGGATCGCTTGCTTCAATACTTTTGGGGGTTTTTTTAGCCAGTTTTCCTTGTTTTCTTGTGCTAGAGGTGTTCTATATTTGGTAAAGCTATCTTCTTACCACAGCCCCTTACTATGTTCACCGCTTCTCTCACCACTTCTGGATATACTGCATATAGCTATCCTCCCAATCAAGATCCCAATGCCACCTTAGGGTTGTTGGTACTACCTTGCCAATCATGAATTCACACACATAGCCTTCTGCTGTAATATCTTCTATGACCCATGTCACACACAGTGCCCAGTATTCTCCATGGCTCGGAGCTCCTTCCAAGAATTCTTTATCGGCCAAATATATACATTACATAGTCTTACCACTACAGGGTTTTACATTCGAAAGCTCCTGAAAGTTATAGAGATAATTAATTAAATTAATTACCACTAGCTGTAATCGAACCATTGACCTCATTTGTGGAGGGTTAGGCGTCCAGACCACTAGGCTACAAAACCCTAACCTGTACTTGCCAATTCTACATCATCATATATCATTGTTATTAAAATATTTTTAATCAAAAGTAATGTTACTATTTCGTTGTTTTTGAAATATGGTATATAATTTTGCCCTTTTATTATTTGCCTAATACTTGTTTCTTTGTAATTAGGCTTCAAAAATATTGTGGCTAATGTTGATTTTTTTTCTTTAAAAAATCATTTGCTATTGAGTGCTTTTATCTATGCTGAAAAAGAAGAAAATCACTTTTGCGTAATCATATCATATATGTATATATAAAATATAACCTTTAGCAGACTTTTTGACTGTTAGAAAAAACTACACACTTTGACCATTAAGATCAGGATGGAGTTGATAAGGTTGTTGTGAAGCTTTATCTTCTGTATCTTTTTGATACTTAGAATGTTTTTTTGCTGGCTTGTTTATTGTCTTTTTAGATAAAATTCTATTTTTTTAAAATGGTAATATAAAACTCGATTAATTATATATGCCATGTTTATATTAAGATAAAAGGCTAGTTTTCTAGCTATAAGTTTCTAAAATGTGTATTTAATATAAATAGATCTTATCAAATCCTAAAACTTAATTATAATCTTCTAATATTTATTCATTATAATGACTATTCTGTTTAGATAACAATAATCAATACAATTTTTCCTAGGGTACACTCAATTTCAGCAGGTTTTATAATAAATAGATGCTTTATATACATCCATTTGAATTCAAATTTCATCTTGATAGCTATTTCTAAGATTATTTGTTGTAATAAATAAATGCCTTATGTTTTCTATTCTAACGTTATTAACAATTTCAAAAACTATCTGTTATTTTATTTTTTGCAGGTTTTTGGTAATAAATAAGCATTTTCTAATAATTTTTTCGATTATTTATTTCTAAAACATGTCTCATTTTACCAGATTTCTGGTAATAAGTAAACTCTTATAGTAATCCATTTCAATTCCAATTCTATATTAATAACAATTTCTAAGATTGCTATATGTATACTCCTTATTCTATTATCAAAGTAGCTGCCAAAATATTGATTTTTCAATACTAATATAAGCTTATGACTTCGAATAGAATCAGTTTATATTAAATACATGCTAATTTAAGGTATTTGTAGGCTTAAATTTGAGTTGTCATATATACTGATACCTTATCTTTAATTTACTATCTTATAATATTTGAGTGTAAGCATATGATTTAGTTTCTAACCACCAAAAAAGCAGTTGTAAAGTTTTTATATAGTTAATTACTTGCCTTTATATATTTCAAATTTTGGAAAAAAAATAATATTCTGGCAAAGAGGATGACTTTAAATCAACTTGTAATTAGAACTTTAAGTGATCGAATATGAAGTATATGAATTTATATGATTTATATATAAAATGACAATTTTGTATTACTGTCAACTTGTGTAACTATTAAGTTGTCACCGTAATTTAACTAACCCCTAGGTATTACCAACTGACGAAAAGCATTTACAAAGTTTTAAGACTAAAGTATTCTAAGAAGCCTACACTTATTCAACCAAAAACCAAAAGAATGAATAGCCAAAACTATCAAGAAATAAAAAGAAAGTAAAGTTAAAGCTATACTTCCTAGTATCACCAACTAACGAAAGCATTTACAAAGTTTCAAGGCTGAAGTATTCTAAGAAGCCTATATTTATTTAATCAAGAACTAAAAGAATAAATAGCTGAAACTATCAAGAAATAAAAAAAAGCAAAGTTAAAGCTATACTTTCTAGTATTACAAACTAACAAAGAGCATTTACAGAGTTTTGAGACTAAAATATTCTAAAAACCCACACTCATTCAACAAAAAACTAAAAGAAGAAATAGCTAAAACTATCAAGAAATAAGTTAAAACTATATTTTCTAGTATCACTAACTGATGAAAAGCATTCACAAAGTTTTGAGACTAAAGTATTCTAAAAAGCCTATACTCATTCAACTAAAAACTAAAAGAAGAAATAGCCAAAACTATTAAAAAATAAAAAAAAAGTGAAGTTAAAGCTATACTTCCTAATATCACTAACTAACAAAGAGTATTTACAAAGTTTTGAAGCTAAAGTATCCTAAGAAGCTCACACTTATTTAACTAAAAACCAAAAGAAGAAATAGCTAAAACTATCAAGAAATAAAAAAAAGTGAAGTTAAAGCTATACTTCTTAGTATTACCAACTAACAAAAAGCATTTACAAAGTTTCGAAGCAAAGTATCCTAAAAAGCCCACACTTATTTAACCAAAAACCAAAAGAAGAAATAGCCAAAACTATCAAGAAATAAAAAAAAAGCAAAGTTAAAGCTATACTTCCTAGTATTACTAACTGACAAAGAGCATTTATAGAGTTTCACGACTAAAGTATTCTAAGAAGCCCATACTTATTTAACAAAGATTCTAAACTATTCTCAGAGAAAAAAATAAAAAAAGTTAAAAACAATGGACAGAACAAAACAAAGTACAGTATATTATTACTAACTAAGAATATTTTTTATTTTTTTTTTTTATATTGCCAAACATAAAAACTTTATTAGTCAAAATTAACACCTTTTTACAGAACAATTGATATACAGTTTCTAATTACATTTGTGCTACTATTACTAGTCACCCAACGTGGTATTATACTCTTTATTTTCCTATATTACTTTTCATTAACTATTTCAAGCCAACTTCAAGCTAAGATTAGTTAGAGCAACCTACCATTACACGTTCCACCATGTAATTATTTTCTGTAATTTTCTTCCAATTAGTACATATTAACTGCCATCATTGTGTTCGTATTTCACGCCACCTTTTGGGATGTGGCCGTAACACAATCTGTATCTCAATTTCAACTTTCCTAATTAGTCTCAATTATGTACTATATTACAAGATTTTCTATTGTTACCTATTTTCATACTTATTACACTCCTCTATCTTCTTCTTGCAGCAACCTTATAATTCTTCCAAATTGGTTCATTCCAGCAGTTTTTTGCTCTTTTTGCTTCTATATTGGTATACATAGCTCTTTATATATTGGTACTATACGGCACGACTATATTTATTGAATCTCCAGTTGTTATTTGCAGTGTACTACCTACTTTATCCCTTAAACCGTCTATTTTAGCAGGCAAATTTGCCTGCTAAAATTTTTAAGAAGTTTTTAAAAATTGGTTCTGATTTATTTTTATCAAAAA